GGAGCTAATGAACCTTACACTGAATTTGTAGATAGGCTTATTCAAACAGCTACCAGAGTTTTGGGGGATACAGAACAAGCAATGCCATTAATAAAACAACTGGCTTATGACCAAGCAAATCGTTGGTGCAAGGAGGCCATTAGACCATGGAAACATGACGATTTAAACACATATATTAAATTATGTAGAGACATTAATGAACAAGGGCAACTCTTGGCAGCTGCAGTACAACAGGCTTTAGATGCCAGGCCAAAAACATGCTACAATTGTGAACAAACAGGACATTTTAAAAGGAATTGCCCCATAGGAGGAGGATTTAACAAAGCTAGGTATCAAAGGAGTAGAATACCAGGTATTTGCCCACGATGCCGTAGAGGGAGACATTGGGCTAATGAATGCCGTTCTCAAACCACCATAGAAGGTACTCTGTTATCAAAAAACGGACAAGGACAGGTGTTTACCCACGATATCGTGGAGAAAGGCATCGGGCTCCCTTGCCAAAAAACAGACAGGGGGGCCCAATGCTCCGGGGCCCACGACCACAAATATACGGGGCACTGGAGGAACCTAGCAACACCATCAGGGTAGTGCCCAGGACACATTATCCATCAGATCTCTCATCAGAAGAACCAGAGGGAGCACAGGGTTGGACATCTGTGCCTCCACCAGAGCAGTACTAACTCCAGAGATGGAAGTTCAGATCATTCCCACAGGGGTAAAAGGGCCTCTTCCCCAAGGAACAGTAGGCTTATTGTTAGGACGCAGTTCTTCTACTCTAAAAGGACTTATGATAAGTCCTGGGGAAATTGATCCCAATTATGAAGGTGAAATAAAAATTATAGCCAGTTCTCCAAAGGGTATATCAGTAATTTCTCCAGGAGATAGAATAGCACAGTTATTAATAATACGCAGCCTACATGATAAATTTTCCAGTCATACTATGGAAAGAGGTTCCAGGGGATTAGGCTCCACAGGTGTAGATTGGGCTATGCTGTCTTTAAATTTAGACTCTCGCCCCATGCTAAAACTAAATATTCAAGGACATGAACTTAATGGGCTACTGGATACAGGTGCAGACCTTAGCATCATCTCTCGTCAAGAATGGCCAAAACATTGGCCGTTACAACAAGCCACTCAAACGCTTCGAGGCCTAGGAGTGGCAACTAATCCCCATAGAAGTGCAATGGTATTAGATTGGAAGGATCCTGAAGGATGTGAAGGAACTATACAGCCATATGTATTGGATCATCTTCCTATAAATTTATGGGAACGAGATGTCCTAGATCAATTAGGTTTGACATTAACAAATAACATCAATCCAAATGCGCCCACTATTAGGACTAGACAAGATTTTAGGAAAGAAAAAAAATTAGGAGAACAAAAACAAGGTATAGCAGCACCAATTCAAAGAGATCAAGGAATAAATAGACATGGATTGGGTTTTCAGAAGGGGTTACTGAGACAATAAAAATTACTTGGAAATCAGAAAGACCAGTATGGGTTCCTCAGTGGCCCCTGACTAAAGAAAAGATACAAGCAGCCCATGACCTGGTCAAACAACAATTAGCAGAGGGACATATACAACCTTCCATATCTCCCCATAATACTCCCATTTTTGTCATTAAAAAGAAATCTGGTAAATGGAGATCATTGCAAGATTTAAGAGCCATTAATAATGAGATGGTTATTATGGGACCTGCTCAATCGGGGATTCCCCAATTGTCTGCTTTGCCAAAAACCTGGTATGTTTTAGCTATAGATATTAAAGATTGTTTTTTTTTTTTTTTCAATTCCAATTCGTCCTGAGGAGAGTCCACATTTTGCATTTACTATCCCTGCATTAAATCATGAAGGTCCTGATCAGAGATATGAATGGAAAGTACTCCCTCAAGGGATGGCTAACAGCCCAACTATGTGTCAAATTTATGTTAACAAAGCAATCCAGCCACTTAGAAATCAAAATCCTGAACTACAAATATTTCACTATATGGATGATGTATTGTTAGCACACAAAGATAAAAACACATTGCTAGAATGTTATGCCACACTGACAAACTTATTAAAAAATTATAATCTAGAGATAGCAATAGATAAAGTACAATTAAATTTTCCAATTAGTTATTTAGGAGTTCTATTATCCTCAACCATGGTCCGTCCACCAAAAATTCAAATACGAGTAGATCAACTCAAATCACTTAACGACTTTCAAAAGTTATTAGGAGACATAAATTGGATAAGGCCTTATCTAGGCATACCAACAGGAGAGTTGGGACCTTTATTTGATATCCTAAAAGGTCCATCAGATCCAAATTCACCCCACATGTTAACGCCTAAAGCAAGAAAGGCATTAAAAATTATTGAAACATATGGAAAATATGCATTTGGATAGAATTGATATAAGTTTGCTTTTATTATTTATTGTACTACCAACAAAAAATATTCCTACAGGAGTATTTTGGCAAGAAGGTCCATTATTATGGATACATTTATCTTATTCTCCTAACACTATTCTTACTAGGTATCCTGAGGCTGTAGGACAGGAGGGGTATATATACATTCCACCCAGCTTATCTTAATTAACATAAACTAGATACAGCAGTCAACCAATAAGGAATCTCCACACTTAATGGCTCGCTGGCATTACTTCACAAACCACTCCCTCTGGCAAAATGCCAGGTGCCATCCTGACTTGTTTACAGACCCTAACACAGCCCCCTGTGTGTGCCCCCCCCCCATTGACCCCTCATCCCCACGCACAGGGTCCTGAGCAAACACAGCAGAGCTGCTCTCTGTGCACTGGGGAGATGAGTGACAGTGGCATCTGCCGCCAGGTCACAGGATGGCCATCTCTCTGGAGGGGCATGGGAGGCTGGAGGCAGAGGAGGAAGTCATTGTCCTCTGGCTGTGGACAGTATCGCTGATCTCCTGCCCCATGACCACCCTTGGGGTGGGGACCTTGCTGTCCCCGGCCAGCTGGCCCCACGGCACCATGCAGGCTGGGTTTCAGGTCCCCCCTGGGTTGCCTCTGCTCCTGAAGGCACTGGCGGGCCGGGGAATCTGCAGCTGTCCTCTGCCCAGGACCTGCCTGATCCAGGACCCTCTCAGCCTACCCTCAGCAGGAGTCCTCTGCATGTCCCCTGGGGCCAGGCCCATCCCCAGGCCTTGCCCATGGAGCTGGTCCTCACCCAGGCGGGGACCAGCCTGCACCAAGCCTGGAAACAGAAGGCGCCCAGCCCGAGCCCTGGTGCCCACCCATCAGCACCACCTCGCACCTGTCACCATGGGTCCCCAGCCCGGTGTTGACCCTTCATGGATGGAGTTGTCCACCCTCTTTCGTGTCTGACGTTCCACGTGACTGCGAGGCCCCCCCTACCGTGTGGAGCCGTGTGGCCACAGCTCACGTGCACACCGTGCGTGGTGCCCCCTGTGGGGCAGCTGTGGGCATGACTCCTTTCCCGGGTGGGTGTCCCTTGGGGACCGTTGGTGGCCGTGGTGGTGCGGTGTGAACCAGCCCACGTGTCCACGTGTGTTTGTGCCGCCATGGGTTGCTGAGTGTGGGAACTCAGAGCTTACGTTGTGTTTAATTAGACAAGTTCGGATCAGATGCTGGCGTTCAGACACCGCACGCGGTTTTCATTTTAGGGAGAAACGAAAACGCAGCTGGGCCCTGGAAGGGCGTCCCCACCCTACCCCCGCGGGCTTCTCCCTGAGAGTGGACAGACGCCCCTGCCAGGCCCTGGTGGTGGCAGCCGTAGGCCAGGACAGGATGTTCTGGCCCAGGGTCCCTCCTGCTGGGAAGGTGTGTCCAGGCTGGACCTGTAGCAGCTGGGGGAGGGGGAGGGGCAGTGCACATGTCCTCCTGGGGACTCACTTCCAGGAGGTCATACACTCACATGCTCAAAAAACCTCGCCCTGTGCAGCAGGCAGGAGGCCCCTGGGCTCCCTGGGTAAAGCCCAGCCCCTCGCCAGGCTCCCAGGGCTGCTGTGACAAATGACCATGAACTTGGTGACGTAGAAGTTACTCTTTCACAATTCCGGGGGCCAGAGTCCACGATCCAGGTGTGGGCAGGACCACATTTCCTCCCGAGACTGCGAGGAGGGGCCTTCCTGCCACTTACAGCTCCTGGTGGCTCCCGACGTCCCTGGAGGGCTGGCCGCTCCATCTCGGTCTCTGCCTCCGCCAGACCTGGAAGCCCTCTGCGGGCTCTCCTCATGGACACCAGCCACTGCATTAGGGTCCCCTGCATCTACAGTGACCTGTCCCCACTAACTGCCCCCAAGACGCTGTTTCCAGATAAGACTCAGCCACATCGGGGACTGGAGCCTACGCCCACCTTGCAACCCGAGTCCCCTTCTCCTTCCCCCAGGGCCGTGGCTCCGCAGCTCCCTCCTGCCTTGCTACCTCACTCCAGCCCTCCCGGGCTTCGCGCCAGCCTCCTCCGCTGCCAGGCAGGCAGCGTCTTGGGACCTGGGTCAGAGAGCTGGAACTTAGGTCCCGACCCACGGCAGTGTGGCCTCGGGCAAGTCGCTCTCTGGGCCTTAGTTCCCACTCGTGCCAGTGTGGACAGAATTCATCTTGGGCCTCATTTTTCCCCCTCCATGCTGCTACTCACTGGGTGAGCGTGGTGGGTGCTCAGCTGAGTTAGAGTGCACAATGGGTGCCCGGCACAGGTGGGCACCTCGTGGGTTTGTGTCAGAGCAGGTACAGAGCAGAGGCAGGTGACTGTCTTAGAAAAGGACTTCAGGCCAGGTGTGGTGCCTCACGCCTGTGATCCCAGCAGTTCAGGAGGCTGAGGCAGGAGGATCTCGAGTTCAATGCCAGCCTCAGCAAGAGCAAGACGCTAAGCAACTCAGACCCTGTCTCTAAATAAAATACAAAATAGGGCCGGGGATGTGTCTTAGTGGTCGAGTGCTTCTGAGTTCAATCCCTGGTACCCCAAAAGAAAAAGGACCTCAGAAGGGTCCCACACTCCCCTCATTCGAGAACACGACTGGCCTCCTCCAACGCTTGCTGTCTACTGCAGGGCTGTGGAGACCGGGAGGGGACCTCTGCGCTGGGTGCTGGGGGAAGGCTCTGCGTTGCCCATGGCTGGCCAGGACCCTGCACTGAGCACAAGCCACCCGTACTACGATGTGGCCAGACATGGCATCCTGCAGGTGGCAGGTAAGTCAGATCAGGGCCCTGTGGGGTGGGACAGGCTCTCCGACCGTCTGGCCTCCCTTGGTCTATGTCCAGAAATGAGACGGTGATTGGCAGAGACACCTGCCTGTGCTCTGAGGGGTCAGTGACACTTGTCAGAGCGTTTCTGGGAGCTCTGAGGAGCTGAGGGACCGTGCTCCGTCACTCTGAGGAGCAGCAGCCCCGGCTGCAGAGAGTATGTCGTTAAGAAGGGCGCGGCCAGGCTCTTGCCCAGAGCAGCAGGCCTCTGCACGGGCTCAGAATACCTGCAGCCCCCCCAGCACCCGTCGGAGGAGGGACGCACACTGCAGCACCCAGCCTGGGCCTCGGATCAGGGACCCTCCGTGCGAGCTTCTCAAGTGAACAGTGACCCCAGCCCCGCTCCTGGGTCCCCTGCAGTCACGTCCATCACCCTCTCATCTCCAAGGAGCTTGGGTCCTAGAGAAGTAAGAGGCAAAGAGAGGCCCGGTTCTCGCTCAGTGGAGACCCAGAATCAAGAAGAGGAAGCATCTTGGTCTCCACTGACACAGAGGAGGGATCAGAGGTGGGGTTGGACGGGCACCCCATAGCTCCAAGACCCCGAGGTCCTTTTGAGAAAATGCTCAGGGCAAACGTTGGGGACACAGATCCAGAGATCAGGTGCCAAGATCAGGTGCTCACTCTCTCTACCCAGTGGACCCTGCCCCATGGCCTGAGGCCTTCCAGTGACCCAGCAGATCTGTCCCAACCTCCTCCCTGACCCCCGCTGTCGACAGGACCCAGTCCACTCCTAGCCCTCCTTGTCTGGGGCCCTGACCCCTTCTTCCCTCTCCTGTGTCCCATTCCAGCCCTGCTGGTCCTCGGCTGACCCGGGGTCCTGAGCTGCTCCCGCCCGCTGCCCTCAACTGCACCTCCCCCGCTAGCCACCTCTCAAGGGCACTCAGTGCTGCCCTGCAGTCCCCTGTGGGCAGCTGCAGGGCCAGACCCCGTGCTGCATGACACACCTGCCTGGCCTGTGGCCCAGGCTCTGAGTCCTTGGAGTGTCCCCCGGGGCTTAGATAGGTCATGCTATGAGGTCGCTCGTGGTGACCAGGTAGGCTGCTGAGGTCCCAGGGGTAGGCCTTTGAGACCCTGGGGAGGGGCTGGAGACTGGCCAGTGACATCGCTCAGTCACCCTAGGAAGGAAAGCTCTTGCCAGGGCTCTAGCACCTCCCTGGTGGGTGGTGATGCGCCCTGTGTGGGGAGGGAGACCCAGGCACTCCCTGGCTCTACCCTGTGGCCATGCTGAGTTGTAACCTGCCTTCATAGGGACAGCCGGCCCTCACTCAGGATGGTTCAATTTAATTTTTTTTTTTTTGTACTGGGGACTGAACCAGGGGCGCTTAACCACTGAGTCACGTCCCCAGTGCCCCACCCACTTTATTTCTGAGACAGGGTCTTGCTAAGTTTCTTAGGGCTTCGCTAAGTTGCTGAGGCTGGCTTTGAAATTGTGATCCTCCTGCCTCAGCCTCCGGAGCTGCTGGGATCGTAGGCGTGCACCAACGCTCCCAGCTCCGTCCTTGGAATTTTGAAACTTTATCTTTTCCTGGGCCAAGGATTTGGACTACGGGGTGGGGCGCTCCCCTTTCTCAGTGCTGGGTGGCAGCGACCCAGCCCCTCGGTCGCAGGGAAGCCTGCTGCATTGCTCAGCTGGGGCTCGGGCAGGTCAGTGGACCCACTGGGTTTCAGTGTGAGACTTTCAGCTGGGCACCCGTCCTCGAGGCCCTGGGTTGATCCCAACACAGCGACAACCAGCACCACACAACCTGTGGTTTATCAGGCTGCGACCGCCGTGAGCCAGGATCTTACTTTACTGTGCTTCCTTGAGTTCTGCAAATTGTTCCAGAAAATCCTCAAATAGGAGGCTGTCATGGGAACCCCAGGTGGCCAGAAGTTGGGGTGGCTGGGGACCTCTGAACTTGGCGATTGTGGCCAAAGACGTGATGCCCTCTGCCTGCAGAGTGTGGGCCACACCTCCCTGCCCCAGGTGGAGGCAGGCGGGCTGTCCCCTAGGCCTTTCCCTGTGGCCTGTTATAGTTAAAGCTTTGTCCCAGGGTTTCATAAACTGACTTCCAGACCACTCACGTATAATCGGATCAAGCCTTTATTGAAGCACACCGGTGGCGGCTGACCAGAACATAAAGCTGTTCCCCTGATCAGCCCCGAACAATTGCAAGGGCACTCCTTATAAGCCTGAAAACCGCAAAAGGGATGTTGCGGGGGGGGGGGGGGTCTAGCCAATGCAAGCCAGCCAGGTTACAGAAGCGGGACAGTGCAGTCAAGCGGAGGGAAGCCTAACCAATCACAGTGATCCCAGTCACCCCAGTTACAGAAACAATACCCCATTAGGTAGTTCCGTGTTCTTAAAGGTTTCTAAAGTAAAAGGAAAAGAACATCTTGCTCCAGTCATGACTCTTCTACTTGGCCTGGTTGTTCTACAGGATGAAGTCATAAAACAAAATGGAGTCACATTTGCTCCTGCTATCACATTCCCCACTGGTTTTAGTAGGTTTGATGTCAATCTTGCACATCATTAGGCCTCAGTTTTTGTTTCATCCTTCTGTGTCTAAGGGACTGTACTGGGCTCGCAAGACCATAAGTCTGACCCCATCTACATTCTTTTGTGTATGTGGTTTAGGAGGGTTTGTAAGAGGCAGGGTCCTACAGTAATACCAATCAGGAGAAGGATAGGGGCCCAACTATGGCTGAACTGATGGTAGTCAACCAAGGGGACCATGAGAATAGGTTTTTGGAACCAATTGTCTGAAGTTTAAATTTATATCTGTTTGATATATATCCTGTGATAAGAGCTGCAGTTTCTAAAGCAGTAGATCCAGCTATTCCCAAACCAGCCAGGAGGGGAACTAAAACGGGGGCAGCCAGTCTATGTTGATAAATCAGTGGGGCCTGGCCTTTTAATAAGTCCAGGTGTTCTTTTCCCTTTACTTCATCAAAATAGTAGGTTACATAGTTCAGAGTTATTGACAGTTTGGAGATATAGGCAAGGAGTTTGAAGTGGGACCCGGGAAGCACAATTTTTGGTGAACGGGGAGTTGTCCCACTTATAAGGTGGGTTGTGGAAGCAAGTGTCTCTTTCTGGGAGATCACCCAGGGTGATCTTGGGAGCAGTTTCCCAGGTACACCTTCCTGAGCTAGACATATTGGCAAACATCTATGTTGACTGTAATTTTTCCTCTAATATTAGGGACCTCCAACTGCTGTAAGGGAAAAGGGCGATGACCGTTCTTGCTACTTCCAGCTGAAAGGGGGCGATGTGCAGTGGGCAAGCAGTTTGGAGTCCCCTTTTTAGAAACTGAGTGGGTCAAGGAGTCCATGGTAAAAATCTGGCTCAGGAGGAACAGGATGTCAATTCACCTGGGGTGGGCACTTCTATGAGAGAAACAAAAAGACCTGAGTGCCGAAGTAAGATTAATACAAATAGCATCTGGAACCTGTCCATGAATATCATGAAAATGACAGAAATTAATATTTGTTTACCAGGAGGCAGAAGACCTGAGAAAATGTCCCCATAACAAGGCCTAACAAAGCCTAATAAGGCACTTTTTTAGGGAACATAAATCTTTAACA